TAATTGTGCCTCATAAAAATTTAGTACCATGATATACTGTATACATGTTCATATGCTGTATATAGATTTGTGATAATAGAGAGTAAGAACCAACTTCTACTGCCATCAGGAATGTACATGACAGGTCAGCTACCCACAGTAAGTACTGTGTGCTGGGTCCCATCCCCCTCGCTAGCTTATGGTCATTATTACCAGTTATCTACTCTCTCCTGTACCATCAGTTTCCCCTTTCCACTAGGTAACTACCTTCAGCCTACAAAAAATGTAATATGTTTCATCTTATTAAAATCCTCCTTTAAGTCCATATCTCCATTCACTGATCTGTCCCACTTTTCTATACCTCTTCACAAAAAACTCAAAAGACATGCCTATCTTTGCTTTTCCATTCTTTCTTTAACCCATTCTAATCAGACTTTCAACCCCCAGTCTTTCCTAAACCTGCCATTGTCATGATATCATTCTCTATGTTGCCATATCCAAAGGTCACTTCTCAATCTTATCTTTCTGACTTAGCAGCATTAGGCACAATAGATCATTCCCTTTTTCTTGAAACAATCACCCCATTCTCTTGGTTTTCCCCCAACCACCTTATCTTCTTGGCTGGATTCTCTTCATATTTCCCACTTCTAAATGATGGTGTGTTCTTCCAGGTATGTTCTATAGCCCTTTCCTGCCTATAACCACTCTCTCTTTACATGAATTCAACTAGTCCTGTACTTTAAACATTCTTTGTCACCTCCCCCGGCAAGAGATGGGAATCCACATTCCCTCCTTGAATCTGGGCTCTGTGACTATGTGACAAGTAAAACACAGTGGTAGAGACACTGCCAATTTCCAGGCCCAAGCCTTAAGACGATGGTAGCTTCCAGTGGACACTCTCCTTGGGAGCCCTGAGTTGCCATGTTGGCTGCCTGAGGCTTCTGGGCTATGAGGATATTGTGCTTCATGAAGAGATAATGTATAGGTGTGCTGGCCAACAGCCAGCATCACCTAGCAGTTATGTGAGTGTCCAAGCCACCTTCACTGCCTCTTTTCTTAACATACAGAATTCATGGCTGTTTTATGCCCCCTCTGTTTTGAGGTGGCTGGTTACACAGCAGTGGTAACTGGAATAGTCCATCATTGCATACAACTCAATGACTTTGGCCCTAGCCCACTTCTTTATATTCACGTGACCTAATCCCAAACTGGCCAATACAACTCTCCTTCTTCCAACACACAATCTCACAACTGAATGTGCTGGAAATGTTTACCTTACTCAAAAGGCTTAATCCCTAAAATGGCCTTTTTTCCATTTCCCCTACTCTCTGTTGCCCACTGTGCTTTTCCTTGCTCGGCCTTAAGTGGCCTGCCTGGCCTGGAGGCCCCTGCTTCAGGGTCGCTGCACTCACTCTTCCCACTGCTTGAGAGCCTCCTTCCCCAGATCTCTGGCTGGCTTGTTCACCTCCCATAAGTATTAGCTCCAGTGTGACCTTCTCAATATGGATGTTTCTAACCAGTCTACTACAAATGGCAAACAGGTCACCCATGCTCCAGCATGCCCTATTTTCCTTCCTTGCATTATTTTTCTCATCAAACTTAACACCATCTGGTGACATTTACTATCCATTTTCTTTATTTTCTATTTCCCTCACCTGGAAAGCAATTTATATTCTGCAAGCTCTGAGAAGATAGAGATTTTTCTTTTCTGCTATTTGCTGTTTTCCACATGTAGAGTAAGGTCTGACATGGAGGACCTGCTTAATAATAGACATTTGGAAGGACTGACTCTTCTTCTAGGGATGTGTGTCTCCATTCCCGGCAAAGCCCCGATGAAACAATGCAGTAGAAATTCTTCTGCATCAATAAGCTTGTCAGTCCCATAGTCTTCAATAACTCCTTGATGGAGAGACTTCTACCTCTACTCCCCCTGAAATGCAGCCTTCTGGCTGCCTGGTCTCACTGCCCTTTTGGAACATCCAGACAAGATGGGTTCTGTATCCCAGTGAAAGCACTGCAGTCCCAGCTGCAACTCTAGTCCTCTCCCCACCACTATGCATGCACATTCCCTGAGTCCCCCTGCATCTCAGGAGGCAGCCCCATCTTGGGGACCTAAGCAGGCTTAGGGGGTGGGATGCCAAGTCTTTGCAGCAGCACGCTTACCCCTATATTCCCCCACAGGCTGGGAAGCAGAACCAAAGCCCTCCTGAGAGACATACTAGGTTTTCCTGGTGGCTGCTAGTGTCCAAGTTCTAGGTCTTCTCATCACTTTCCCTAGAGCCAAAGAGCTGATGTGAGAGGGCCTAGACCATTCCTGCCTAATTGAATTAGGAGGTTGCTCACAAGTCTGAGCTTGGTGTATTTCCTGATTTTTACCTCATTTAGAAATATCTTGTAGGGCCTCCCCTGGTGGCGCAGGCAGTTGAGCACCGTGCCGTGAAGCTGTCCACAGTCTCTGCAGCAGCAGTTCGATCCCAGCCGGCAAGGGTCCCACATGGCAGGGCAGACCTCTCCTGTCTTGCCCGCTGCTCCCCTCAGCAGTGTATTTCATCAGTCTGCCTGTTCTGTTCCCCACTCTGTCTCTGGTGAATCCTCTCATCCTCCCACGCATCTGGCCTGTACCTTGGTTTTTGTATAAATAAATAAATCAATCTTCAAAAAAAAAAAAACACTTAAAAAAAAATCTTGTAAACTTGGGTAGGTTATTTTACCTCTATTGGGACTTCTGTGGTTCTTAAGGAAAATGCCTTTTTTCTGGTGTCATTTCAAGATGAACTGGGATAAAGTCTGCCTTAAGCACTCTGCACAGTGACAGGACTAGCAATAAAGGTTCACTACCTCCTCGACCTCCTCTGGAGCCCCTCTCATATTCCCAGTTGAACTGGAGTTCATTGAGAGAAGGAACCATACCTGCTACTCCTCCATATTCTTCATAGTCCCCAGGGTAGTACTTTCCTATATTTTTAATAAATGCTTCTCTATTATACTTCCAGTGTTCCACCCTGAATTGGACCAGAGGGTACAATGATTTCCAAAGCAAAAATATTTAAGAGACACTTAGTTGAAGGCCCGCTGGTATTGGTTAGAACTCCTCAAAAAGTTAACTGTACTAATTACAGTTGTGCTAGTGAGAGAGACTACTCTCAAATTACTTGTGGTGCTTGGTTTTCTACATAAGTAATTGATTAAATATATACGCTATTTAAGATAACTCGGACTTTTTTCTTTACATCTTGAGATATTACTTCATGACTGGTTATGGAGAAGCAAGCATTATGAAACATTTTATAACCTCAAACATCAGAATAAACTCCTGTACATGCTGGGGTGGGCATATTTATTAAATAATAAAATAATTTTAAATATCATTGTTATTATAAGTTGATACTGAACTTGAAATTTTTGATTAAAAGAGAAATATATTTGCTTCTAAAAGAAGATTGAAAAGCAGCAATTCAGGGCCTCTCTGGTGGCACAGGGGTTAAAGACACAGCACTATCAAGCTATTGCCAGCCACTGCAGCACGAGTTTGTTCCCTAGCCAGCCAGGGAGCAACTCACATGATGCAGCAGACCTCTCCTGACTCGCTTGCTGCTCCCCTCAGCAGTATATTTCAGTCAGTCTGTTCTGCTCCCTATACTCTCTGTTAACTCCTCTTACCCCCTACACCTCTGGTCTACATCCCAGTTCTTGTATGCATAAATAAATAAATCTTTTTTTTTAAAGTAGCAATTCATGAATTCTTTCCAATATTGAACATTTTTCAACAAGTTGCCATTTATTTTTTAGAGCATCAAATATCCAGTGCATCTTTAATTTGCTGAATTATGAACACTTCCTCTTCAAGCCATAGTAATTTCCCTCACTTGGTATTCAAAGTCCTGAACTGTGTGGCTCATGTAAACCTGTTTGGTTGCTAATGCTCTTAATGCTCCTCTTCTCTCTCTCATCTTTCCACCCTTCCGGCCAGACATGCTTCTCTCACATCTGAGCTTTTGCGTAGGGTTTTTCTTTGCTTTGACTCTTTGACTGGCTTACTCTCAGCAGTATCATCTTACTTACTGCTGCCTCTTCTTCTGGGATGTCTGCTCTGATCACCAAGAGCAGGTGAGCTGGCTCCTGACAGCTGTTTCCTCTAACAGAATAGGCCTATGTCCTGCTCCTTCTCTTCCCAGCATAGTGTACAGTCCTTTCTTTAGACTAGATTCTCCAGGAACATATATAGCTTTGTTGAATGAATGGAAAACTTGGCTCTTTGGCATCTTTGAACAGAAGTTAGTGTCACTGGAGGGATACCTGTCTTGTGGGCTCAGTAAAATATTTTATCTATTGGCAACCAATTGTAATTGCAAGGCTGTATGTTTGCTAGCATCAATATTCACTAATATTCTCTTGCAAAAAACCTTGTAGAATCTTGCAACTTGATAGGCAGCACACCAAAAGACAGAATATCAGAAGTGGGAAAGAAATTTTAGAATAAAGCTATGATCTAGAAAGTAGTAGAGTTATGATTGGCTAGGGATGGGAGGAATGGGAAGTGAATGCTAGCAGTATGGGGTTTGAGTGTGATGAAAATGTCCTAAAATTAGATTGTATTGATGGTTGCACAGCTCTGGGAATATATCAAAAGCCATTAAATTGTATAGTTTAAATGGGTGAATTGTATGGTATGTGAATTATACCTTAATATGACTTTTTATAAAATAGTAGAGAACATATGTTGCAAAGTTATACCTCAGTGGACTGTCAAAAAATAATTTTTTAAATAATCTTTACTTTTAATAGATCTACTTGGTGTTTTCTGGTAAGTGAAAAGCCATCTATCTAAAATGCGGACCTTTGAAACCCAGTGTGCACAGGTCAGGAAGCACAATTCACTGCTGACCAGCCTATGATGAGAAATCACAATTACCACATAATAAAGTTGCCAGCAAAGCTGACACTTTGGGAACTGTACAGCAAAGGGAACTGTAAATGAGGAAGGAAACAACAAAATTATGGTATAAAACATAAACACTTACCTGGAAACTGACAGCATATAGAATGTGCGGTGGTTTTTGCATAGACTTCTCTCCGAATCATTCTCAGATTTGGGAACTCCTCATTTCAGGCATCAGTGTGGTTGATGTCTTTGGAAGGAGTGCTGATCTAGGGTTTAAGATGTCCGCTTGACCTGGTTTCCAGAAGCAACAGTGCTGGTAATGCCAGCGGTGGATGGTACCAGTGTCCAGTGCCACTGAATTGAAAGTGGAAGTTGAGGTATTGTGTCTTGAATGGTGGTAGCAGCAGTTGCCCCCCTGAAGGACCAGGGCCAGGTAAAAGAGTTAGTGGGCAGTATCAGACAGAGCAAGAAAGGTAGACACTGTATGATTAATCCCTGGTCCTAAATGGCTATAATACTTTGGAGGCACCTGAGTCTCCATTTCCTTAGCTACAAAATGAGCATTGATCAGGTTCCATGACTGTATGAATACAAGGAAGAGCTGATATGAAAACTCGATGTAGCCATATGTGTATAAATAACTATATAACCCATATAGTCTTTAGGACCCAGTAGTAATTGGCTCTCTCCCACCACTAATTACATCCTGGCCATTCATCAGCTAACACATTTGTCAGACTCCTTCAGCAAAATGTCTTTTTCATAACTGAGGACTGTTTACAGTAAGGACAAACAATTGGGGCTCATTAATTCAATCATTAGGGCCCTGATTATGCATCTATTGTCTGCTCTAGTCAGTTATGTTAAATAATCTCTTTAGTCTTCATCAGAGCAATTATGCTAATATGCTTGAAATTTTTCAAGAGTATTATACCTTCATATACTTATCTTGCCTACCAGTGGTCTGACTCAGTCAATATTGTCAGACACAATTATAATCAAGGAATAAGGTCCTATTGTTGCCATATGACTACTAAATTATCCTTCCTCATAATAGAACCTTAAATAATTTTCACATTGTTCTTTCAGAATTTAGACAGTGGCCTCTTTTAGTTTTTTTCCCCAAATATGTACATCTCAGTTAGTGTTTGAATGTCTTCATGGGAGTACTCATTTCATGGGAATTGTACCATGATTTTCCAAGGAATATTTGAATAGTCATTGGATTAGTGTTTCAATGATCAATTGATCCAATGATGATTTATGCCTTTAAATGTAAGACAGGAAATATAATTCCATCAGATTCCTTGAGAATGATGAAAAATGTAGCTTGTTTTTGCCAAATATTTTTCTCTCAACCAGAAATTCTTTCTTTTTTCAAATATTAAAATACCCAATCTGTATGTTTTGTTTTCTTGATTTTGATCAGACTGAGAATTTCCCATTATTAACCAATACTTATATGATAGGCACATAACCAATACCTGGTTTGATAAATTTATCAAATTTAACCTTGATAAATACTGAATTCTTTTTTCTGCATGTGTTTTATTCTTATCTCCAGCATTTCCTTGCAGATGTTAAATATTTCTCATTTTTAATAAAAACAAGCATGTGAATAAGGAAGGTATATGTATGTAGAGGCAGTTGCACACATCTTCAGCATGTCTGTTGAAAATATGAATTTTCATTGCATTGAGATAAAAATACAGCTGGTGTCGGATTTTTTCATCACGGCTTACAGCAAAAGTAATGTCACACATTTCTTCTTTAAAATTTTTAGTTAATCTTATTGAATGAGTGTCCTTTCAATTGCAAATAATTGGATCTTTTCTTAATATGTAGTTATGTTCACAGAGACTTAATTCCATCAGGATGAGTTCCTACAGAACTTGGATGTTTACAAAATGCTCAATAGTTGCATTAAGGGGGAGAATGGGGCAAGAATGTATTAACTGGAATAATGGGGCAAAGTTATGTAAAATGCCTGCAGGCCTATGACTCTCAAATATAACATTGCTAGGCTGTACAAGTAAGGAAATACCGTATTTCACATTTCTTTAATTACTGAGTATTTTCGTAAGGGTGTGCGAATACAACTGAGAACAAGATGTTGTCCTTGTCCTTTATGAATTTACAATCTCAATGGGGAGACAAAATAGACATGAGGTTAAAATGCTGCTCAAGACTAAACTAACAGATCAAGACATGAATCAAAGCTGAGTCATGGTATGTTATCAATGTGACCATGAGAGAAAATTCATAGGTGAGTTCAAATCCTTTGGTCTGAAGTAACCAGTAGGGGCTTTACGAATTTACAGGAAAGGAGATGGGCTATGCGTTGAGTTGAAAAATCAACAGATGGATGTAATTTTCTAAAAATTCCAACTACAGAAGAATCAATGATGAAATTTAAATTTTCCATTCATGATTCCAGGTTTAGAAGCAACTGCCACTACCATTTTTCTTATGTGTCTATCCAGTATATTTAACTACCTTCAAGTTGATTCTTAACTGATTTTGCAGCATCATGTGTAAAGAAGGGTTAAACTTGATGTCTATCCACAGGAAAATAAGCCTCACACAGTATAATTTATATAATAGGGACTGACTGATAAGTTTGTGGTGTTTCAGTGGATTTCCAAGTTGATTGTTGCCAAGGCAATCCCTGATCTACCTGCCTTCAGATTCTGTCTGACCCACTTTGGTTTAGATGCATTCCTAGCTGAGGGGGCAGTAGGCAAACTCCTGTCTCTAAGTTCTTTGGGGACCTGCATTGGCAACCAGATTGCGTCTCCTTGTCTTCTCTCAATCCTACAGATCCTGGAAGGTTTCCTAAATGGAAGAGTTAAGGACCAAAAAATCTGATAATTTGGACAGATGGCCTAACCTAGACTTAGGCACATTACACACTGAATTAACATACCTCCAAAGTCCCTAACTCCCATCCAGGGCCCAGACTCCTCTGAAACCCCAGCCAGTGCTGCTTTTGTTTCTGTTCCTATTCACCCTGATGGACATCCAAATACATAATCTGGTCACAAAGGAGAAAATATCTGTGTGATTCAACGCAGCTTCTTAAAGGTCATTTCATATTAAAATGGTTGATGTGTGTTGTGTTAGCAGGAAGGACCCAAAACCAGAAATAGCCTTCCCTACTTCTAGCCTTTGCCCTAGACCATCTTCCCTGGTGGCTCTGGGAAGTGAAACCAAAGGCTGAGGAGGTGGAACAGCTCCACCAATTGGCTTCCTGGCCTCCTTCATCAGCTCTTTTTAAAAAGGGGTGAGTAGAGCTGCAGCTAAGCTGACAAAGGAAGAGACCACTGGGACCCACACGTCTGAAGGAACAATTCCTGTTGAATAGGTTCATCTCAGCATAAACGCAAGCAGGCAACAGAAGGGAAGAAACATTAATGATTATTGATTTTCTTTAAAGCTCTGTGCTATTCACTTTCACATTTATTATTTCATGTTTTTTTATTTGTGCATAGAACACTTTATTATTTTAATCATCACACAACTATATTTAAGTAGCTATCACTGCAGATGACTTCAACTTGCCAAAGATCCCAGATTTGGAACAAAGCTGGATTGAAAATTACCATTTGCCTGACTCCAGGGTTCACGCTCTTCATCACCACCCTCTTCAGGGAAGCCTTCAATTCTGAGTACACTTTAAGGACTTTCATTGTTTGAAATGGTCATTTGGTACTTCCTGCTTATTGATTAATATTGCCAATGACACTTTACCCCTTCCTTATTTTGAGTCCCCCTTAACCAATGAAAAAGTACATGAGATGAGCTCTGGCCAGAGAGCCAAGTGTGCTCTATTCTTGTCTCTCTTACCACCTGTGTGAGACCTGTTTCTTTTCAATCTTAGCTCTAAGACGTTTCCTGCTTAACAGAGAAGGTCCTTAATAAACACTTGATGTGATTAGTTGGTTCAATACTTCAGCAGAAGCTTTCCCAATGGAAAAAGCAGCGTTACAGGCGCAGGTATCCCCACCTGCGATGGGCAACCAGCAGCTTAGGGTCTTGTAGCACAGAAGTAAGAAGTTGGGGGCTGTGGGCATCACCTGAACAGGGGAGAAATGAAGGGGAAGAGAGGAAAACAGCAATTAAGAAACATGCTAGGCGCTTAGCTTTCAGACCTCACAAGCACCACTCAGAGCATGCACTACTAGCATCATCTTTACCAAAGGCAGGAACGAGTCAGGCTAAAATCCCTGGTATCCCCTTCAGTCCTACAGCCCAAAAAGATGCCCGTTCTGCGCTTATTTACATCGGGGACCCCGCCCCCGAGTGCACCCCCAGGGCCCCGCCCACTCGCGCGCTCAGTCGCATATGGGCGCGCCCGGAGTGGCTCGGGCACCCGGGCTCCTGCAGAACCTTCCCTCGGCCCCGACTCGCCCGTCCTCCCGGCGGGCCCCGGGCCTCCCCAGGGCCCGAGCAGGTGTCCACTCCCAGCGGGGCCACAGAGGGTGGGCCCGGCGGCGGCCGCGGCCAGGCCCCACCCAATGGCGCGGGCGAGAGGCGCGGGAGGAGGCCCGGGCTGGGGGCGTCGGGGTCGTTTCCCCGGCGCGGCGGCTCGCGCGCCTCCCCGCGCCCAGCACCTCTCGAGGGAGGGCGCCGGGGCCGACGTCAAGCAAAGCGGCGGGCATCCCACCCCGCCCGGCCGTCGGCCGCCGGCCGCGCCTCGCCTCACGCTCTACGGGGGAGGCGGGACCAATCAGCGAGCGACGTCTCCCTTCCGATTCCAGGCCCCCGACGCGCGGCTCACACCCCGAGCACCCCGCGCGCTGATTGGGCGCGCGCGCCGCCGGTCCGGCGGGAGGGCGGGGCGGGCCGGGGGAGAAGAGGTGGGGAGGCCGCGGCGCGCGACTCTCCCGGCCCGCTCGCACCCGGCCCTCGCGGGCGCTCGGCCTCCCGCCGGCCCTCCTCCGCCTCCCGCTCTCCGTGCGCGCCGAGGGCTGCGCGCGGCCGGCGTGCCTCGCGCCCTAACGGGCGGCCGGGGGCGCCAATCAGCGGGCGGCGGGGTGCCAGCCCCGGGGCTCCGCCGGCGAATCGGCGGGGCCCGCGGCCCGGGGTGGGAGGCGGGGCTACGCGCGGCCGCGGCGGCGGAGGAGCAGCTCCCGGCCAGCAGCAGCGAGCGCCGAGCGAGCCGCCCGGAGGTGGGTGCGCCGCGCCGCTGCGGCCGGCGGCGGAGGGCGCAGGGCGGAAGCGGAGGTGGGCCGGCGGGGGCGGCTCGGCCCGCGGGGCCGCGGCGGGGAGGCGGGCGCGCGCGGGCGGAGGAGGGGCGGCGGCGGCGGGACGCGCGTCCCCACCCCCTCCTGCCGCGGGCGGCGGCCGGGCCCGCGCCCCCTCCCCGCGCCGGGGCCGCGGGCCGGGCGCCGCTCGGGGGGCGGGGCGGGGCGGGCGGCCGCGGGCGTGTTTTCAGTTCCGCCTCCCGTCGCCCATTCCCCTCTCCCTCCCGGCCCCTCATCCCGTTCGGAAGAGGAAGGAACAAAAGGTCCCGGACCCCCGGCTCCGGCGGGGCGGGACCCGCAGCCTCGGCGCAGGTAAAGCCGCGGCGCCCCGCGGGCCTGGGGTCAGGGGTGCGAGGGGGGCGCGGGGCGGCGCGCTCGCGGCGGCGCCCGGCCCGGGGCTGGGGGCTGGGGTGTGGCGAGGTCGGGGTGCTGGGGCGCGGGGCCGGGGCGGGGGCGGGGAGGGGTCGGCCCCGGTGGCGCGTCCCGGGCGAAGGGCCGGCCGGGCCCTCCCTCGGCCGCGCGCGCTGGGCGGTCGCGCTGCTGGTTTCCGAAGCTGGAGACGGGGCTCTGCCTGCGGGAGTTGTTGGGGAGCCGTGCTGGGGGCGGGAGGTACTTGGCGGCCACTCTTCTGGGGGGCGGGGGGCTGTAACCTTTGTTAGCCGGAGTCTCGCCTCGCGAGCCGCCGGCTGTGCTCGAACACGCGCAGGCCCTCGCGCGTGGACCGCCCGCCCTGCTCACTTGGGAAAGTTGCTCCGGGAGTGGAGCCCGGCGGTTGTCACACGCCTCTGGAAGGCTCGCTGATTGACTGCACGGATTTTCAACTTGGTTTTCAAATCTGCAACTTTAATTATTTTGTTCGGGGTCGGGGCGGGGGGATCCTGTTCTTGGGGGGTGTACTTTTTCTTTGGCTTAACCCTTACGGTCGTGGTTTCCTTTTGATCCTAAACAAAAGAAAAACAATACCTGGGTTGCTTTTGTTATTCCTTCCTCTTGACCATTTAGAAGCTAAATGTTACCGGTTTGTCGTTAACTAACCTTTATTAAAAATAGACTATCTCCAGGTAAATTCGAAGTCGTGTTTTCCGTGGCAGGCATGTCTTGTTTATTACAGTTTGGAGTATCCTGGATTTTGGTGTTTTGAACTTATAAAACGACACGTGTAAAGTAATTGTTAATAAATAATAAGTGATGATAAACGCGCACTTGGAGTCATTCCATCTTTTCAAAAATGGTCCCTGAAGCTAGAGTTAATTTCCAGAATTCTGAATGATTTCATAATCTAAGTTCCTTATCATTTTTTTTCTATTCTGATTTCATGTGAGTTGAACCTGTGCTATTGATTGTAAGGATGTTTTCTTTGACCCTAATCAGATAATAAATTTGTTATTCTACTTTTGTTCCCTTGTTTTCCTTATATAGATATGTGAAAGTGGAACAAATGGAAGAAATAATGTAAAATAGATTTCATAAATGTATCACAGTTTGAGGATTTTTTTCCATTTGCCAAGAAAACCCATACAGGATGTTTAAATAATTTCTCCACTAGAAGGTCATTTAGTAAACACTAAATTCAGAAAGAACACTGATATTATTTTTTTTTTGAATTTGCTTAGTTTTTACCATGCAGTTAGTTGTGGTAGTAAATAAAAGTTCAAGTCTTTGGGCATTTCCAAAGTGAGTGTCCACTTAGACACTGAATGTTAACATTGAGTTTAAAGAAGTTCTTTGGCCAGTTTTAATGCGTTGTGATGGGAAACATCCATTTCTGGGCTTACTTTAGTAAGACTTTACTCTTAGAAAGAGCCTGTTATTTATGCATGGTAGCTGTCCTTTTTACTGATTTCACATTGTAGGTGTTCAGTAAGAGTTTGGTATTTTAAAGGTTGTAACCTATCTGCAGCTCATCGCAAGTGATAATATCTCTACACAATATGTAAAGTTCATGAAATAATAGTCTTATAGGAAACTGCAGGGTAATTTCCTGTGGGGGGTGGGGTAGGTGGGAGGGTGGCTAGTGGGGCTTGGCATGTATTTTAACTCTTATGTAGGATTTTGGTGATAATTTTGTATATTTCGGCAGAAATTCACTTTAATGGTAACAAAGCTTGTTTCTACTTTAAGATGGCAAAAGGTCCCCTTCTCGCTTTTACTTAATTGTAAATTTTAAAATCGTGTTACTTAATGTTGAAGGAAAATAATGAAAAAACTCAAATTAGCTGCATAACCTGATTAAGACCTTTTGTACTTTTACATTTTTGCAATTATTTTGGCTTTTGGCTTTTGGGTCTGAACACTTTCTTATTCTTGTTTGGTTTCAGCCCTGTTGACTTTGTACTTTGAGGATTCCAAAAGCCTTGCTTCATAGCATCTTTTTTATACAGGTGTTTTTATAATGCATGTAAAAGCCATATTTAGTGCAATCTGGCAGATGGAGGTTTATTCATATTCTTAGGACAAGAGTCATTTTTAGAGGATGGAGAGGGGCATGTCTTTAAGGATTCTTTGAAAAAAGAGACAATTTAGAGCTCTTAGTTTTTGTGGGAGGAAAGGTGTTTCCCACTAATTATTGTAAGGATATGTCAAAAGATGAGAAATATGAAGAGTTCAGAACCAGTTCAGGAGAGAGTATGCATTTATTCAACACATAACTTGTACCTATGGAACAGTAGCAATTTTTTTCATTTATTTGTCAAATAACATTTGCTTTGTGTCAGGCCCTAGACTAGGCAATGAAATGCCTAACAGGGGAGAGGCACATCCCTGTTCCTTAATAGGATTAGAAAAGTGTTTAGAATAAGAGAGTCATGTTAGTGTAGAAATTGAAGTTTTATGTAATAACATTACTGAGCCAATTCCTGAAGTTATGCTTGCATTGCTGTCAGATACAGAGGACAGAATTAGAGAAGAGATCAAATGTTAACTCAGTGTCACTGGCAGCATTGCCTTTTGGGGAAACTTGTCACCATTTTTGCATGGTCTATACAGACTGAAGATACAGGTATTCTTTCAGAAACATTTGTTGAAGAGATGAACACTTTCAGAGATAAACTTAATTTCACCTTAGTTTGATTGTCTGTTGGTTGGGAAAAGATGGCACACTTGAATCAGTGAGGTTCCAGTGGAAGCTCAATAAAGTATAAAAACACGTAGTTAAACCAAGAATAAGGATTGGAAAGCATGTAGTGGAAAGATTGTGAACTTTGGAGTCAGAGAGACCTAGGCTAATAGTTTCTCAGGTTCTACACTGGGCAAATAACTCCTGAGCTTTGATTTTCTGACTGAAAATGGAGGTAATAGCACCTACCTCTTAATGTTATTAAAAGGATTAAATGACAGTGATTAAAGTGCCTAGAACATTGCTTCAGACATAAGGATCCTCCCAGATGATCTCTTTTCTAGTTGTGGTTTTCAGTTTTTTTTCCTGATCCAAATGGTTTGCCCAAACTCTTGTCCTTAAAAAATGCATTTGAGAACCAGGATACTAGCAGAAAGAAAACTTAAAGTAGCAAAATTGTCCAAGTTCATGCCTTAACGTTTTTAGTGGTTCTAATTAAGAGTCATTGGGACCCTTAATTAGAACCTGTTGGCATTTATTTCAAATGTTTGTAACAGAGTTATTGTGACTTTCCAATTAGTCGAGTAGATTGTGGATAATGTGGGAGGCTTAGGGGATAGTGTTGTGGGGTGGGGTGGAAGGATGGGAACTGTTAGCCTACTGTTTATTGTCAGGAAAAAACAGATAACAACCTGGTGAGGATAATAGAGATAATCTACAAGACACAAAAACAAATATTCAAAGCCTAACTAGCATGTCTGGAACCATTCAGCGCAGGACCAGACCTGAAAGCATACTAATGAATGTTCATCAGTTAGCTTAAATCATGTTTGGGGAAATTTTTTTAAGACTGTGGTAATCTACATGATACTCTTTAGATTGTCATTCAGGATGATTAACAAATGTTCTTTAAAGGGTAGGATGATATGCCTTAAAGAAAGACATTTTCATGAAAAATCCAAGTACCTACTATGACCAATAT